AAACGCTGGCTAACATTCTGTACAAGGAGTATTCTTGATCTGATATAAAGAAACAACTGGTTCTCAAGCAGTTTTCAATGAATTACTCAACTTACATGTACAGTCTGCCATGCTGACGCAAATGGCGCAAATGGATAGTTCTAGAATTGACCCCATTTGATGCAGTAAAACAATCTAACATTACCTAATCTAATTTTCGTATCAAAGATCAAATTTCTTTCCTATTATAAAACTACGATAAGACTGCTGACAAAAATGGAATAAATACATTATTGACTCAAAATAATACATCAATAAACTTTATCTCACGGATGCTGTTCACAACAAAGTTTTATAGGAGAATTGACTTCAAGCTTTATTTTTCCCAGATATTTGTATTACATTCATCTGAAGTCTGGGTTTTTTGTTAATGCGAAGACAATATTTCTATATCTCTTTATGTGTTAAACAGACAGACTATTTTGCAGACTGCTCTGACTGACTCGAATGTTAAAAAGAACAAACAAACTGTAATTTATATAATAACTTATCCATGCATGTACAATTGGTATGTTCCTGCATAAACAGGAAAATATAAATATATATTGAAGGACAACTCTCACCGAAAGTGCGAACTTCAACGCGATAGCCATACCGAAGGAAGCAGCTGTTCAGGCAGGATAGTACTGAAGCCGAAACGTGAGCACAATCAGAGATTGTAATGTCCAAGTGTCGGCCCTCTGTAAGACAGCATGCTATGACTATTCGTATCTAGCCAGTGATTAAGAATTCGGAATGATGAGACTATTAAAAAAGGAGGAACTACATATTTATAATTCGTAAGGCATTTTCAATACAACTAGCATAGCTTTGATGTTGAATCCGGTATGGTTAGAATTACAAATTGCAAAATCGCATTACCGTTTTAAGGGTCGCATACCTGCTTCTTTTATATGGTCTGTTTTCATTCAGCTTTACTCCTTCGCCGGAAGTTCTACTTTTCTGAAATATCCCTCAGTCGAATACGGATGTGGTATTTAATGGAGCATTGGTTAGCTACTGGTGGAATGCAATTGGAAGACGAAGCGAAATTTAAGATGTTCACATAACCCTGTGCAAAAGCTTTCCCATTAAACACTTGAACGGCACAGATCTGAGTGCTTATGTTGTAAATCAACTACTAAAGTATCAAAGGAATTAATAACTTCTGGGCGTTCTACAGTGCGAAACGACATCATCTTTGTTCGTGTTGGTGAAAATGCCGCACTTTAAATTAGTTTGTCTGAGTGAAAAAGCATTTTAAGTTGTCTGTAACACCTAAAGAAAGAAGCGTGGTAGGCCTACAGTTGTATGGTCACCGCTCCTCACCACTTTCTATGAATGCAAGCCACTGTGAACACTCACCGTATGTCTCCTGTCCTTAGTAAAGTCCTGAATCCCATCATTTACGATTTCAGAGGTACCAAAACCACCTAACCTTGGTGGATGACTTGTCAAAAGCCTTGGTAAAACCTAAAAATACAGACTGCAATAGTGGCACAACCCTCATCTGTGCAACATTCCTGTGCAATAGAATTTTGATCAAGCAGGAATATTCTACCTCAAAACTGTCATGCTGCCTGATCAAAAGTTTACTAGTACTGGCATGCTGATGCAAGTGTGCAACTTGAGCACTGTGGTAGAATGTAATTCTATATTAGATAACTTTATTTCAAATGTCACACAATGATGCAATGTTAATAACCATTGGATCTTTAAGCCGACAAAGCTTATCTCCGAAAGCGTCGGCTGGTTGCTATAAATGCCACTGATTGACAATCTTACGTAAGAGGCTCACCTTGGACGTAGCTGTTAATATATATCAATAAAGTCCAGCGGAACTACTGGGTTTTACTGGGGTCAGGCTTCAGGAGCAACTTTAATACATTTCCCTTCTCAACGTGTTGATACCCTATTCTTAGATAGACCAATGGAAATTCTGTTACGGCGCGTACAGCTTCTGTAGCAGACAGAACGTGCCACATATAATGGCGCTGTGATGGAGTGACGCAGACAATATGTGCCAACAGAATATCATTCTCACATATTTCCACAGTCTAATTCGGCATTGGCAAAAGAATACTGCGTACACTTGAACATTCTATTTCATGTCGTTTGATGTAAACCAAAATCACACGCTCAGGGATTGATTAAAGAATATTAACCATATATGTATATATATATATCTATTGAGGAATAGTTGGCTGGATTGACCAGGAAGAGAATTTCGCCAGATTATCACCAGATAAATTTGTGAGGCCGTAACTGACTGGAAGGGTGGGGTGTGGTTTCACTTTTCCAAAGGTCTTCTCTTCACACGCGCCAGAAGTCTTTTGAGTTCTTACCTATCTGTGAAATATATGCCTTCCTGGATTGGTAATTCAAGTCTAAGGCTGATTTCTGCCCCTGCAGTATTTTGGGCGGAAATGTTTCTACTCAATAGAGGTAGGAAACTTTCATGACCTTACTCTCTGCTAGAGGAAAGTAGTTTGCTGACTTTTCCGGAAATCTGTGCGGGAAAATTTCAGATGTAGCGTATTTATGTGTTTATTCCGTGCATCATCAATGGACGAGTTGGTATTGACTGCCCAGTTGACAGTCGAAGTACATTTCTTTTTGGCTGCAGTATACTCACGTCAGACGTCGGAGTAAAACCAAGACCAAACCCAGACTTAATTACTATTCCTTATGATAAACGATAACACCCCACATTTATTATTAACTAATGGGGAACGAAGAATTTGCCTATATAGGTTATCTGTGTCGCGCCTTAGTAACAGGATTAAAAGGGATAAACTTCAGTTGGGTTGGAGCATATTTGGCATGAAACATATTAACCTAAGGTTTTCGCCATAACAGTCGGGCGTAACCTTTATCAAATGTACCAATCAACTCCGCAGAAGAAAGAACTGCTCAGTCTAAATACAGTGCAATAAAGTCCACAAGAATGATGTGGTTGTTGGATCTTTTCAGTTGTCTAATGTGCTCTAATATGAAGTTATCACACTGATTATTTGGACTTCCATGTAGTACTCCGACAAAGCCCATCTCCCAAGTGGCTACTTCGGATGTCTAGCTTTTAGGGGCTTTAGATTTCTAGTGGCGGATGAAGAAGGAGGAGTCGATGCAGCGAATCGCTCTACTTCAGTCTTGTGAGAGGAGAATTCAGACGTGACACATTCAGTGGCATTTCATACACAATTTCAGAACTTTCCACACCATTCGCTAGTAGAGTTCAGTCGAAAAACGAACGTGGTTGGTGTGAGTTACTGGTTAGACTCATGGAATAAACAGTTCTTGAAAGGGTCATCTAATTTAACAGATTTTTCCAGGTAAATAGTAATATATGTCAATTTAGTATCCATATAAACAAAGAATATTGACTTAGCGCTGAACGTAACTCAACGGGCGTTATTCAGTTTAATGAAAACAAAACACGTAGATCAGCGAAGAGTCTCTTTTCGGCGAATTCATCTTCTTAGCTGTACAATCACAAATATATATGCATTGTTTTGTATGTATGTGTACATTAAGTTTGTCAGACAAAGTTACAATCGGTTAAGGTTAATTTTAACTAAACAAGTGAAGGTTGGTAATACAGGTCAAGAAAATTAAGTGTTAGTGAAACTAGGGTAATAACAAAGGTGGTGAGTTGTCACAAACAGTTGTAATAATAATAGTGAGTTTTACTCAGGATGCACATAGAAACAAAGTAGAAATTATGTAAGAGATCTAAGTGGATACAAGAATTACAATTGCTTAAGGTTATTTTAACTAAACAGGTAAAGGTTGGTAATATAAGTCAAGACAATTAAGTGCTAGGATAGTAACAGACAGTTGTTAAAAGAAGTTATGCAATAATAATATGAATATTTTGATGAGTGAGTTTTACTCAGGATGCACATAGAAACAAAGTAGATAATACGAAACTATGTAAGAGATCTAAGTGAATACAAGAATTATAAGCAACTAAGGAACAGGCAAGGAAACAAAATTAAGTTATCAAAATAAAATAAAAATAAAAACTCAAAAAAATCAAAACATTGTTACCATGAGAGTAGAAGTGGTTGAGTAATCTTCTTTTGTATGCACAGCTCCGGTTTTTCCATGTGAATGGCTAGAGCTTCAGCGATACAAAGGAGACGAAACCGTATTGCCTTTGACATGTTGTTCTTGACTCGGTAGATTACTTTGAAGGAGGCGTTCGTTGAAATGCAATGATCAGTGCTGACCAGGTGTTCAATTATCGCACTCCTTATTGCACCAGTATTGCCTTTTCGCAACCATGCTGGATAGTGTTCTTGAATCCTCTTGGACAGGATGCGTGTCGAACGACCGATGTACCTGGCTCCACAGCAGCAGGTGAACTGGTATATGCAGATAGAAGTGGCCAGATGCGGGATCTTGTCCCTGAGGCTTCTGCAGATTAGTGGGCGACTGGAGAACACTATTCTTAGCGTTGCTGCATAGAATGTTCTTCTCAGAGATGATGTGATCCTTCTCTTGAGAATATCGCTTGCTAAATCTCCCTTGAAATCCAAGTTCATGTAGATTTTCTTTTTAGGCGCAGTCAAAGTTTTGTTTTTCCGAATTATTGGTTTCATATTTTTGTCGATAAATCTTATTGGGTAACCATTTTGGATGAATATTTCTCTCAGAATATCTAATTCTGTTTCCAGAACGTCGGGACTACAGATGCGTCGGATGCGGGTAGCAAGAGATTTAATTAAATTCCGCTTTTGTTGAATGGGCACCCAGCTATAGAAGCTTGTTAGTTGACCATTCCACGTAGGTTTTCCATGGATTGATCTTCTTAGGCTCCCATAAGCTCTTCTTGTCAGTTCCACATCAAGAAACGGAATTTTTGACTCGTTTTCCATTTCAAGAGTGAATTTTATTGCTGGATGGCAATTGTTAAATGTCTTCAGCAGTAGATTGGGGTCGTTGTTGTTTAATGCGTTTGTAGTGGTTCAAATTTGTAACAAAGCGTCAGTTCAAATACCGGGGTCTTCTCGATCTGCAGTCGAATGCCTCAATCCTCGTTTGATAGGGTGGGGTTTTATTATTTCATTTTTTGACATTTATTACTTTTTAGATTGCTAATCTCATTAATGAAGCATCTTTAACACTTTCAACTAGTGTTAAAGTAACTAATTTGCTTCAAGTGAAAGAATTGCTGATACATCGCGAAAGCTCATTGTTGGACAGCTTTTTTGAAGTACCTAGTTTTTCTCATGACTTACACTCTTCCTAGGAGGTTGTTAAATTTCAACATGATCCCAATTCGGAAGTTAAAAAAGCTGTTATTGGCTTCATCGAAGAAGCTTGGTAAGTATTTTTGCGTAAATTTATGAACATACATTTTAATATATAAGCACTTCACTGAGAAAATTTTAAGGTTTAAAAAGTATTTGCTAACTATTAAATAAATTTTAGATGACTGGTAGTGCCTATGACACATTTCTAACTTATTTGTAATTATAAGAATTGACCATTTTCGAGTCATTTGTCATATATCGCCATGTGACCCCACAAGAAGTCCAGAAATTCATCTTTCGTGACAGTTTGCACGTTCAGTCTCTGTGTGAGCTCATGCGACAAAAATAATAAGCCTTAACAATGAAACATTTACGGCGCTTACAGATATTAGCTAAATAAGTTGGTTAGATCATTAGCTTAAAATATTGTACCAGTATCTATCCTGACTATTCTTTATCCTCTTTAAAAAAGTAATTAAATATATAAAATGATATTTGTAGCCTAACTGGTAGTCAAATTGCTGATCTATTCCTTCCAGATAAGTTCATTCTTCAATAACGAATACCACCTGTGTTGATAAATTTAAAAGGCTCAACCTACTGCAATTGCGTGACTGTTTCTCAAACCTGTTCTTTTGCGATTAAATGGGAATGTTGTTACCCTCAACACGCCTTATATTCCCTTCTGTGTCATGACTTCACAACTTGCACTGTTTTTCACCGTCCACTTGTATAAAATATAGAAACTTAGATTGTTAAAACGTGATACCAGCTAACATTTCTAAAAATTCTTTACTGTGAAATCACCCATCCATAAGCTGTAAAAACGATTACTCATGGGTAAGACAAAAATTAACCGCATTCTGTTTCAACAACTTTTGTGATGTGTCCACTGTAGTCATTTCGCAGCACTACTTTCCTTCAGAGTCCTACTGAAGTCAAACTTTGAGACTTTTACCATTAAACCCATTACATTGTCAGTAAGGTTACTTGTGCACTGTCTTTTTATACTGCTTGTATAAATTTATAAATGGGTTAGGAGTTGTAGCACCTCTAGTTTTTTCCACTTTTCTGGCATGTTATTGCTATCCTTTTCGAGGAGTTACTGTGTTCTCATCACATGTTATTTACTTTGAAGTTTACCGGACTGATAAAATAATCACTGTCCAGCTCTCTATTATCTCGTATTTATGATAAATAGCTCAAATTCTTGAGATTATCTTTTTATTCATCAACTCTGGAATACTATTGAATAACTTGTCTCTCTTAATTCATATATCTTTCATTTACCTGCGTTTCGAAATCTCAGATATTTTTCCATTTAAACTTCATTTTGATCCCAATAAGTATGATTTTATCGACGTCAGTTTGCAGTGTTTTGTGAATAATTTAGGTCATATGTATAAACAGTGAAATCTGAACCACCTGCGTCAGTTCAATTTTTATAAAAAGGATTAATGCTATGCAGTACACTTTCCTATAAGCTAGACTGAATTCCTGAAGTAAGGGTTGGCGTGGGAGTGGAGTTTCAATCTGCAGCCCACTATTTAAGAGCCATGTTTAAAACATTGATGCAAAATATTCACGGCAGAGATTTCAATAACCATTTGTAATAATTACCAATCACATAAGCCTCATCATGCCATAGTTTGAAAAGACTGCCTATAGTTGATAAGCTGTATCCTCACCTGAAGCTGTGGCTCATTCACCCGTGGAAGTCGACCTTCAACCGATTCAGCCATGGGTTCGAATCCCCATCCATCTGTCGAGGTTTGAGCATTTAGGTAGCTTCACTTACACATGCTTCAATAAGGGTGGTTCGTTGCCAACTGCATGGAAATTCAGGTAGTTGTTGAGTCCTATGTGTCATTCGTATCACGCTTAAGTTTTCGCGTAGGCTTCATTCGACTATAGAGGAGAGGGGTGCTGACCTTCATATGAAATTAGTGTTAATATTTCTTAGCACTTTGCATATTTTCACAGTCTTAATAATCATTCTGGGAATTTATCTTACTGTTTTGTGGTTTATTTGAGTAAAATCTCACTACTTGCCGGGTTATTATTTACACATACCACTTAGAGTTAGAAAGAATTTTAAGTGCTTTAATCACAGTGTCCTGAGAATGTTGGACATTCTCTACAGTACTGTTGATCACTTTTTGTTGAATACCTTTGTGAATCTTATGGTATTTGGTGGTAAATATTTTGACAAACTTTTCCATTGCTTGAATTATTTTCTAACTTTGTAAACATATTTTTGTAGTTAGTGATTAGGGCTTTTCATCAGTAACAATTGTTTTTACTTGAGATTTAAGTTCAGACCTCAAACCCCAAAAAACAGCACTGTGTAACTCTGAAGAGTTTCATTATGAACCAACAAGCACTTCAACTCAGTAATTATAAAAAGTGAAGTATTTGTATTAAGAGGCATGCTGTGGTTGTAGGTTACCGGCTTGTGGTTGACAAAACACTAAGACCCAGTAGTGGACAGATGATTTCATACAAAACAATGTCTATTTGGTGCATATTGATGGTTAATCTTCGCAAACATTTCAAACGCTGCATTACTTTTTTCTGTCTTTCTCTATTTTTGTGCTACAGTCTAACCACTTGTAGTGTCAGTCATTGTTTTGACATCTGTGACACTGTATGGTTTGCCGACGTTTTGGTAGAGTTGTCCTGAGTTTCATTGAGAGAGACCTTTTTTGAGAGATATTAGATCTGTGAAACATTTCAGTAGGAGGTTGTGAGTTATCTACCTACAGACCCAATTCTAGGTACATAATTCCGGCGTTCAAATCCCCGCCAACCTAGTTCCGTTTGGATAAACAGCTAACATTATGAACCCACACATATGTATTGTACGATTCTCAGCCTAGTGTTATAAGAATGTATGCGTCAATGTACTGCGTTGTGTTAGTTCTTTTTTAAGCAGTGTAGTTTAAAAATGAGTGCTTTGTTTGTAGAAACATCGATGTTCTAGTCTGTGACTTTCGTTACGTAGCTACTTTAATTTCCACCGCTTTAATAGGAAGTGTAGTATACCTAATATGCCTGAGTTGCGTCGACTTGTGTGGACTAACTTCTAGGCTCCTTCAGTAATAGTTCACTTTAAATATATACTTTTTTATTCTTTTACGTTCCCCAGTGGAACATAGGGCTTCAAGCTAGAAGCTTGGAAGTTTCGGTAGCAGTGGTGTTTATTTTTACGGGATGGGATTGCTATCCCCATGCCCAGCCTTCCATCTTTGCCAGTCTTATTACTGGCTTAACGAGGTTAAGGAGTGCGTCAGTGACCGGGAATAGAACCCTGAACCACATTCGTGGTTGGCGAGCACTCTACCGCTGTGCCTCCGACGCACTTTATGTGTATATATATATATATCTCCGAAATAATAATTAAGTACAATCTGGAATATGTTAGAACTTACGTCGTATTTTACTTTCTATATTATAGTATTATTATTCATAGTGGCTATATGGCTGATATCGACCTAATCATTCGATTCTCAGCCGATGGGTCTTGCATTCGAATCCTGCATCACCTCTTTCAGCCTAGTTGTTATCATCAGTCGCCACATATCAAGTATGGCTGGTGACATGGTACGTGAGATATCTCTTCCGCGTAAAACAGCAGCAGCAGATGATGATGTAGCATAGCTGTTGTACCACAAGGCTTCAAAATGCTAACATGCTGTCAGTGAAAAGGTTGCTAGTACTCCTTATCGATCGTTGTTAACAAGAAGTGTGCTCAGAAAAAGAAAATGAAGGCTTTATTTTATGCAGTACTCACACTTTATTCCATCAGAAAATTATTGGTAGTCATCCTTTCTCTTCTTGGATAATAGGATTTCGTGTTGATTCGTGATTTAAAAATGCGTACTGAGTCCTATGTGGAGTATTTACCTTTGTTATTCCACCGTAAGAATACCATTTTCTCACCTAGAATTCTGTGTATGCCGAGAAATATTACGATTACCTGAATCTCGATTTATGTTTAAAACCCGAGTTTACATTTAATAGTTTGAGAAAATTTTTTAATGTTTGGGTATATGATATTCTTCGTTGTTATAAAGCGGTTTCGTATTTCCCAAATGAATGAAAAATTAGAACGATATTGTTTTTTTTTTTATTGAAGTTTCCCCATTTAATACTGCTATAACAGCTTTATCAAAGCAAGAACAACAGTTCGTGCAGAATTAGGCGTTCAATAGCGATTGCTTCAGCAAACTTTAGGAGAACGGAACCATTTTGCATATTGATAATTTTAAAGGATTTTGCACCCTTCCCTCCAAAAATAGTGACAAAATCAATACGAATATGATAAGAAATTTTAGTGTGTAAATACACGCTGTTCTTATAATTTCATACATTTATCTCAAATCCAACAGTCTGCACACGGTTTGTTATCTTAATCAGTTCCTGGCGTAGACGTGATATATGACAGGCTGTCGACCGAATGGTGTGTGTACTCCTCAGCACTCCGCTCCGTTTTCCTTTATGGCTGTGAGTGAGACATGGCCATTAAGAGTGAAAGACATGAAAGAGCCTGGATAGCTGTCTTTGATCATAGGTGCCTGCGTTCCGTCTCCCGTGTCAGGTGGTGGTATAATAGGGTGAGCAATATTGAGGTTAGGCATCGGTCGAATGCTAGGTAAGGAGGGAGGGTAAATCGATAAACGAGTCCATGAAGCAGCTGCATGTATTGAGATGGTTAGGACATGTGTTACTCATGCATGTCTAGCCATCGCCTTCGTCGACCGACAGTCAATGTTAGCTGACATAGGATGGGTCAGGTTGGAAAAGAGCCAGTGTTAGTCAAACCAAAACCAATATGGCTTCATCAGTCTATGAAATCTTTGACAGTTAGTTTAAACTAATCACGTAGGAAGGTGTAGACTGCTGTCTGGTTGGGGTCCTTGGGAGGGTGAAAACCAATGACTGGAAACAATCGGTGATATATCTCAAAATCGTTCTTAGTGATTACGCCGATGCATCCACTCCTTGTGACTTATAATTTACATTGAAACTATATTTTTCTTCGTTATTACTATTCCTTTGTCTCATATCCCTGCCTGCTGTCTCTATTATGCATTTCTTGTACTTTCTTCTCTTACTTTGTGTGCTACACGGAGGGAGTGTGGCGACTTAAACTGCTGCATATCGGTGCAAAGTTCTATGGCGAAAACAGACAGACATATTAATCAGTTTACATTCAATTGACAACTTGAAAGTTATCTCTGGTTTAATATTACTTTGATGAATGATGACGATGTTTTTAAACTCCTTTGCTTTTTACATGGAAAATAAGTCTTCAAGATTGACCTCTGGGGTTTCGGTAGTAGTGATGTTCATATTTTACGGGGTGGAATTGCTAGCCTCATGCTCAACCCTTTCTCTCTTTGCCAGGGTACACTATCGGCTAAGCGAGGTCTAGGAGTCCGTCAGCTGGGAATCGAACTCCCGAGGCGAGTATTCCATCACTGAAACACCGAGGCTTAAAAAAACCCAGAGAGTACTGGATAGCAGTTCCATCATCCTGGTGCTTGGAACTCTTCAACAGCACTATGCATCCAAGACCTTCAGGTTACAAACCGAGTTCGTACACCATTCAGTTACTGGTACACTAGTGAAGGTATTGGCAGCCCTAAATAGCCAAGCATCAGTAGAAACACTAATATCGTTTTGTTTTTCCATTCATTAGGAAATACAAAGGTTTTTATATTAGAGAATGTTTATTTCCCAATTTAGTTTTATCTGATATTGTGAAACATGATTTGCCTTTGTGTCCTGCCCCCAACCCCCCTCCTTAATCTCTGTTTTTTCTTCTTTTTGCATTTTACAGTCGTGTTGATACAGGTCTGCTGAAAAGAGCAGTAGGCTCATTATTCTATATCTTTTCTACAGCAATACAACAAGAACCACCATCTATCAGTTTATTAAAGCGTCTTATGTCATCAATGATCCCGATCTATCGTACTGCATTATCATGTGCTGTTAAAATTGGTATCATTGATTCTGGTGTAGCAATTGGCAGTGGAATTGGAATCACTGCCAATTCAACAGCTGATATCGCCTTGGAAACATTTCGTACTTTAGCTGAACTTAAAGATGAACTTGTCCGATTAATGTTACCAATGGAAGTATCAGGAACATCAATTTTTGGTCAATATCATTCTTCAGTCGTGCATAATGATGTTATACGAATTCAAGCAATTAGACTAATTGAAGTTAGTTCATGCTTCTTTTAATTCTTGTTTCTTTTATTTTGCTATTTTTTGTGGCTGTCATCAAAGTGTTAGTTGCATGAATTATTATTATTCCCTTGAGTTTTGAGTGGAATTGACTATCCGATTGACTGAATGGTTTCAACATAGAACTTTGTACAGGAGTGTAGCACTTCAACTTATGACACTCGATATCCCACACCAAAGGAAGACAAAAGAGGGAAATAGAAAAGATTCAAAGGAACAATAATAATCAGGCAAATGAGAGAGAAAGAATAGTAACGTGAGAAAAACACATGAGGGTTTATTGGATATTGGAGATCACAGAGAATGAATACTACAGGACTGGACTACATTGACTCCTAGCTTAGAAATAGGCAGGAGTGAAGTGGTTGGTGGGGCGTGTTGACCACTTCACTTACTTGGGAAGTTGCATCAGCCAGTTCCAACGAGATGATCGCTTACGAAATCTCTGCACTGATACAGAAGACTCGTTTCACATATGCCAGTTTATTCCGTCTCTGGCGTAGACGTGATATCCGGCTGGCTATCAACCAAAGGACAGGTGTACTGCTCAACAGTCCACTCGGTCCTCCTTTATGGGTATGAACGAGACATGGCCATTGAGAGGGGAAGGCTAACCGTCTCTGATCATAGGTGCCTGCGTTCTATCTCCCGTGTCAGGTGGTGGTATAATAGGGTGAGCAATATTGAGGTTAGGCATCGGTCGAATGCTAGGTAAGGAGGGAGGGGAGATCAATAGATGGGGCTGTGAAGCAGCTGCATGTATTGAGATGGTTAGGATATGTGTTACACATGCATGCCTAGCCATCGCCTTCGTCGACCGACAGTCAATGTTAGCTGACTGACAGGATGTATCAGGTTGGAAAAGAGCCAGTGGTGGTCAAACCCGAACACAGCTTCGTCACTCAATAAAATCCACCACAGTTAGTTTAAAGGCACGTAGGAAGGTGTAGACTTCTTGGCTGTTTGGAGTCGTCGGCACGGTAGAAACCAATGGCGACTGGAGATAATTGGGGATATGGCTCAAAATCTTTCTCAATGACTGGTGAAGATGCATCCACTCCTTGTGACTAATAATATCCAATAACACTATTGATATAAGCATAAAACTTGGACACTGTGGTAGAGTAAAACTTCATTATGGATAAGATTTTATTTTGATAAATCACACAGTGTTGTATAGTAATATTAACTGATGACCACACGCTTCGAGCACAATTTATTGCCACTCATAATCATATCAAGTCACTCACACAAACAAACACAAGGTGTAGCAATGGGATGGATCATCACTATCCCCCATCTAACAGATATCTTTATAGACAGCTGGGAAAATATTGCTCTTAATACATTTAATCCTACTCCAAAAATGCAGTGTAGGAGATATATGTATGACACATTCACAGTGTTAAAAATAAAGCATATATCTAGCTTCTTCACACACACATAAACTCACTAGTGAGGGGAATACAATTTACATTCGAATCGGAAAACGAACAAGGAGAATTAGCTATGAAGTTAGATTGTAAAATCAAACGAACAGAATAAGGTAAACTGCACACTGGTGTTTATAAAAAGCCAACGCATTCTGCTCATGGATATTTCGACTTTAATTCATCTCATCTACTGTTATCTGTAAAGGTAGGCTTAGCTAAGTGCCTAACAAACTGAGCAGTAGTACTAAGCAGTATGATAAAAAACGTAAATAATGAAATGAAACAGATAGAAGAGGCGTTGGTGTTAAATAACTAACTATCCTGTCAAATTCATTTGAAAGATCACTAAAGACCAAAAACAAAATAAAAAGAATTGTGAAACTAGTAGTGATAACATAAATGAGAAAGAATATAAGACATCTACAGTTTTATCATATAAAGAGGGGACATCTGAGACTTTCTCTACGTAGGATTCTTAATAAAGCAGCAAATACGGTGGCGTTCAAACCTACAAGCTCTGTAGCCTAAAGAACCCTGTTGGTTTGACCAATTAAACAAAATAATATAATTTACAAAATACCCTGCAATGACTGTGAGTTAAGTCAACTACACAGGTCAGTCAAACTAGTAGATCAGGCAGGAATAGTGAGATTATCAGAACATAAGAATTTAGCTAAGGTTAGAATGATTGATCCCACCCGCGAAAATAATGAATTTAGAAAACAGCTCAGCAGTAGCACTGCATGCATTAAGACAAATTTCAAGAAGTAATATGAGTAGATGGAGAGAGAGACACATTAATTAGTGAATCCTGCCTGGATCATCGAGTCTACACACCCAACGCATGCGATAGAAGTGACTCAATGCAAATGCCAGAGATCTAGAAGAGATTATTACCACCAGTCAGTCAAATCAGAGGAAGATAATAAATAATAATAATAATAAATAAATAATAATAAATAATAACGTCATCAGTAAACATTACTGTATAACACTGTTAGACTTAATCAAAACAAAATTTACCCATAATGGAATTACACTCTACCACAGTGCACAAGTTTTATTCTTATATCGAGGATAATAAATAATGTTAAAATGTATTCAATTCACATTTCACACAACACTCTAACAAGTTATTTATTTATATTACTATAAAAACATCGTATTTCCCATCTTATTGACTAACAACACTCGTCTTATTTCCCAGCCCATCGTATTCTATTGATAACATTAATATTATTTCCGAGTGTACTTTATCTTATATTGATTTTATTCAAATGTTTAATCAACTTTACTCATGTATATAAATGAAGCAAGAAAGTTGTGTAAGTGTTGCCTTGATATGATTATGAGTGGCAATAATTTGTGCTCGAGGCGTGTGGTCATCAGTTAATATTTGTTACTGTATAACAAGCACACTGTGACTTTATTCATAACGGAGTTATCCAAGAAGACTATATTGTTCTCCCATATGACTATTCTTTTTGCCTCATGTTTCTGTTTATTATCTCTGTTTTGAATCTCTCTTTACTCTCTTCTCTTGCTTTGTATGCTAAGTGAAGTGTGTAAACTTGAACTGCTGCACATAGGTGCAAAGGTCTACGTTGAAACCAGTCAGTCAGTCAATCAGTCTTCGCCAGTCATTGAGAACAGTGATTTTGAGCCATATCATCAATTGTCTCCAGCCTTCATTAGTTCTTACCACCATCCCGAGGATCCCAACCAACCAGAAAGCTATTCTACATCTCCCTACGTGGTTGGCTGGCTGGCTGGTTTAAACTACCTGTTATCGATTTCAGTGACTGACGAAGCCATACGTTGGTTTCTAAATCCTTATAAAATTTATGAGGTAATTAGATGCAATATTGTAATGAACGCTGAAAATTCCATACCTGTACCACAAATACTGTTTGGAATAAAGCCATATTATTATTATTATTATTATTATTATTATTATTATTATTATTATTATTTTAACCACCACTAGTAGCTCTTTTACAACCTGATACATCCTATGTCAGTCAGCTTACATTTAACGTCGAGGGAGGTGATAGCTTGTCATATGTAACACATATCCTAACCATCGATTGATTTTCTCTCCTTAGCTAACACTCAGCTGAAGTATAACCTCAATATTACTCACTCTATTACGCCTGTCACCTAATGCAGGGGATAGAACGGAGGGAGACACCACTTATGGTCAAATATTTGAGGGTAACGTAGAGCAGGGCTTGAGTAACAGAATGTATAGATCTTGGAAAGAGACGTAAAATTATGGGTTTATAAGACAATTAAAACATCACGTGACACATAATGGAAAGTGTTGAATAGGACAGAGTTTAACACCGCCAAAAATGTGTTTATTTAAAAAATAGTAAATGGGATAGTTTGAAATAATGCCAGAAACTGTTCAAGATGGAAACAAAAGTGATAACAGGATATTCGTCATGAGCTGACATTAGTTAGAGAACCATTGGAAAACCTGGGAGTACTGGACAGCTGTTTCGTCCTAGTTTGGGACTCTTCATCAGTGCGCACCCACCGGGATTCGAACCCAAACTATAACGAAACAGCTGTCCTGTACTCCCAGGTTTTTCAATGGTTCTCTAACTAATGTCAGCTCATGATGAATATCCTGTAACCAATCAAATCCCTACAAACCAACACTTGAAAAGTGATAACAGTTGTAGTAATAAGGGAAACGTACATAGACTAAATAAACAAATGTTTATCTCTCTACGTCTGAGGTGTTAACAAGGACCGTACGTGCTTCTTTGTACACGAAGGCCTGGCTTGAGTTCATGAATGGTCAAGGCATCCTCTGTCTTTAGAAGCTTACAACAAGGAAAATGTGGCAAGTTAGCATGAATTGGATAGACGATCTTAAAACCATATTCGTGGTTGGTAGTCACACACTCTTTCCCGTTGTGAAGACATACTAGAATGTGTTCTCTTATCCGTGTAGAAAGCATTGTCTAGCCACGATCTATTTACCCTGCTCCACAAGAGCAGGTGAACTGGTAGATGCACATAAAGGCAATCAGACGAGGTAGCTTTGCACACACTTCCTTTCTCCCTTGTAAAACCATTCAGGAATATGTTCTCGTATCCGTGTGGAAAGCGTCCTCCGGCTACTACCAATGTACCTTGCTCTACAGGAGCAGGTGAACTTTGATAGATGTACATGGAGGTGGTCGAACAATGGAGCTTATCTTTGACAGAGACAAAGTACAACTTACGACTGGTGAATGTCATTTGTAATTTTCCAGTAAAGAACGTCTTACTGAGTGATTTAGACCGACGATATTTCAGCATATCTGAAGCTTGATCACCTTTGAATTCCAAATCCATGAGTATGGTTTTCTTTGGAATTGAGTCAGTGACCTGTTTGAATTGCTTAATTTTCGTGTTTTGTCAATAAATCGGTTCGGGTAACCGTTTTCTGCGGGTGTGCCTTTTCGGAAGTCATCTTCTGAGTCAACACAATCGGAACTACAAATATTTCTTGTCTTAAAGCAGAACTAGTGGATTAAATTCCTTTTCCTGGAGATAGGCACCCAACTATAAAAATCAGTTAGTTGTCCATTCAATGTACGTTTCCCGTGGATAAATGTTTTGCAGAGATTCGTCATTTCGTCTACTAAGGCACACATCAAGAAAATGGTATGCTTTTCTATGTTGAATTACAAAGAGGCATGGCAGTTGTTGAATGCAAACAAGATATCATCAACAGTTACGTTCTTATCGCAGATAACGAAAGTGTCGTCTACGTAGCTTCTATAAATGTCAAAGTGACTGGTGGTCCAAATAAGTTGAGTGTTTTCAAGCCTTCCCATAAAACAATCAGCGATCAGTTAGTTGACCCAATGGTGATCCCATCGCAATGTCATCTCTCTGTCTAAAAATCTCATTATTAAAACTGAACTGAACGTTGGACATCCGTCTTAATAAGAGTTCGTTCAGGTGGATTGTTGGTAACCCTATGTCTTTAAACTGTGTACAGCAATATTAATCACATTCAGCATTATAGTTTTAGTATTCACACCTTTGTTTAAATTTCCTCACGAGACTTAATTTGTTAATAAAGTCATTGAAAAGACTATTTTCGCTGAATACTGTGTTCTTAATAGTCCATTAGTTATAGTAATTAAAAAAATATGCGTAATATTCTAATTGTTGTTATTCCTTTTTCAGAGTGTAATTATTTTACACTCTCGTCGACTACCCAACTCTGAAATCCCACGTGCCAATGAAGGTGACATATCCTTAGATCAGATACCAGCGCTTACAAATACCCAATTACAGTCTATCTTAGAGGCGAGTACAGCCGCATCATCAGCTACTCTTCTTCCCGGTGTCTGTTTAGTTAGACCTCATCGATTAGCAGAGGAAGCTGAACGTTTATTTGCAGGATTATCAAGTTGGCCGGTGCGTGGAAAGCCTAGTGTTACTCCAGGATCAGTTACTTGCCCAGTAGTTGAAGCAGTAATGGATTCATTAGTGAATATTGCAAAACAAAGACCACAATTTATGGATCGTGTTGTACAAGCATTTGAAACAGTTCATGGTAAGTATTTATTCTTCTGTATTAATTATTTACTATTATTGTATCTTTGGGTTCTGAGTAGAACATAGGACTCCAACAGTACATCTCCATTTCGTCCCGTTCTCTGTAGTCCTCTTCAACTGATCACACGACTACTCATAAGCTTTCATCTACTTGCATGATGATCTCCTGTGTGTCATCTATGGACAGCCAAGTCGTCGTTTCCCATTTGAGCTCCACTCGAACGATGACCTGGCAAGCGATGACATTGGACGGTCTCCTCAGCGTGTTTCCCTGCGTCCATCTCCACTTTCTTCTACACATTTGTTGATAGTAGGTTCCTGATTGGTTTGTTCCCAGAATTTCTGGTTGCCAATTCTTTCTGACCTGCCATGTGATCTTCAGTGAAGAGCCAGGGAAGGTGGCAGCTGTTGATAAAAGCCTGCGAGAGCTTGTTGGAAATACTTATCGTGACGCTCCAAGTTTCTGATGATCTATATAGAAGAACTGACTGACTGACTTAACATTGCTGTTGGAAATGCTATTTCCAAACTGGTTTCAAATCGATGCAGACGTATCTTGTCTTTCCGATTCTGGCTAAGCTTTGACATGAACTGACATCGGTTAGGACGAATACTCGCCACGGATGACATTCGCTAGTGGTCGCGCCATATCATGAATTAGCAGAAGTTGGAATTCGTGTGGTGGCCATTGGATCGGATGCCAGTGGTTTAATGGTCTACAAGCTCGCCTTGAAACCAGTGGGTGCGTAATGCTGAAGAGTCCCAAACTAGGGTGAAACAACTGTCCAGTACTCATAGGTTTCCCCCAATGGTCCTCTAACCGATGTCAGTTCATGATGAAATCCTGAAGCCAATCAAATCCCTGCAAACCAACACTTGAATACGGTAGTAATCGTTAAGATGCGCATATACCTAACTCATAAAATAATGAATGTTAAAGTGTAGCAACAGAAGACAAGCGCCAGGCAACAGATCGTTTATTAAGGAAATTAAAGCATATTTATATATTTTCATGTACATTATTATAGTTTAATTAAGTAAACAACACAGTCTTCTGATTGGTTGTTTCTCACTTAGAGTTAATCTTCCATCTCTTGTGACTGTTTCTTGAATGTCAGATCATCTATATGTTAACTGTATCCGCCTACGCAAATTCTGCTGTGGTCGGTTTTGAATCAGTCTTGTTAGTATTTTCTCACGACAAATCGTGAGAACGTAAACATTGACGTAAATTACTGTGTACCAATTTGGCTAGTAGACAGCTCTCACCACAAAAGGAGTGGTGTTATGTCGATTCCCCAGTTTTACTGTTAAATTATTATTATTGTCCCCTTGGGTTCCTAGTGGAACATAGGGCTTCAACTGCACGTCTCCACTTGCTTCTGTCTTCTGCTGTACTTTTCACCTGCATCCATGTTAGTCCATACTGTTTCATCTCCTCTTCACACGATCTCCTCCATGTCACCCTTGGACGTCCCACTCGCCGCTTCCCTTTCGGGTTCCACTCGAGCGTTGGCCTGACGGGCGATGTCACCCAACGGCCTCCTCAGCGAGTGTCCAATCCATCTCCACTTTCTCCTGTATATTTGTTGGGCGATTGGTTCTTGTTTTGTTTGTTCCCATAGTTTCTTGTTGGTGATTCTTTCCGGTGGCCATCAGATCTTCAGTATAGGGCGAAGACAGTTGTTGATAAAGGTCTGCAACAGGCTGTTGGAAATATTCTTTGTGACCCATCAAGTTTCTGATCCGTATGGAAGAACTGACTTTACGTCGTTTATATTGAAAATCCGAATTTTGTTGTTGATGGTGAGTGATGAAGATTTCCAGATTGGTTTCAGGTTGATGAATGTGTTTCTCGCCTTCCCGATTCTCGATTTGACATCCTCGTCCGTTCCTCCTGTAGCA